CATTTTGTAAAAGTGTTTAACACTTTGTAATTTTGCTTTGCACTTCCCAGCCACCGTAGTTTTTTCTATCATTTTTGCCAACTCACTTAATGAATTGAAGCAGGCTGAATAACAAACACGTCTCTACATGTATAATGCAATCCAGCAGTCCAGCAGAGAGCTACTTTACTATCATTTCAGGATGTTTCTTTTGGCACCTTGCTGCTGAGAGTCCAATCTTTACTCTCTTTCAGCTCCGCTTGTTCTTCACAAATATCCTCAGCTACTGTGTCTGCTACTAGTGCATTGCTAGCTTTGTCTGTTTACCTGTTTGACATTGAGCTGGAACACTACAGTTTGATTTTCTAGTCCTTTTATTGTGAGGCCCATTTCAACCACCTGGCATAAATACTGGCAAACACATTTGAAAATACCTGAGTCAGCTACTTGTGAAGCCACATGTCTACCTCCATAAATAATATTAGCCAACTAACAATTAACAGTTCCCAACTACATTTTGTGCTGGTTTCTACCAGTGGGAGATCAGCAGACGTCCCATGTACAGAGGCTACAGTCCTTGTCATTCGGATAGCAGGATCGACTCCTGGTCTCAACCCTATTGGGCTCAAGAGATGGGACACTTTAGGGTGTGGCTACCTGTGATTGACAAGCCGCTAACACACTGCAACAAGGAAAGAGACGGACAACAACATTCTCGAAAAATGAAGCCTATGCGGAAGTACAAAAACTGCAGTTCCTCGAGGTTCCGCTTGAGGCTGGCTGCAGAAGCGCCGGAAGTGCCATAAGCCCACAGCCAAAAAAGCCCGTTTTTACCACAGGAATCAACATGTTTACAGCCTGGTTCAAAAAACGAGATATATCTGAGAAGTTGACGGCCCCTTCTCCTCACACTGTGGGGGGGTGAATTTTTTTATAACTCATCGGATTTTATTCTATTAAGGAAAATGACTATGCCCATATTTGGTTGTGTCAGATTTGATTGACAGCTCTGCGCGGTCAGCAGGTCAGGAGGCTAACAGCTTGATCCGTCTGATTTCTCCTCTTTTTTATTTCGTTTGGAGAGTTTGTTTAACACATATCTGACAACATACATGGCTTGCTGTGCGGTTAACAGACCATCCAACAAGTTGATGCTTCAGTTTTTTTCGGTAAGTGATATAGTAGTGTTATATTTACTGCTTACTCGTGTGTCGGTATTTATATTTACGGACCTAGCTTGTTTAGCGTTAGCTTGTAAACCAGTCGGCTAACTGTGTAGCTCATTATTTACATTATTTATATTATTTACATTATTTACGGTCAATGGTTTAGAAATGTTTGTTGTTAAGATGTTGTTGTTGAAAATAGTGAGTTTGTGTGATGTTAGAAGCTAAAGGTTCAGCTCGGTGGTTATCTGACGTTATGATGAATGTTATACTCCACGTAAATGTGGACATTAAAAAACAAACTTTGTGTAGTAATTATCCGTCAGTAACATAAACTGAACTGAACCTAATGTGCTGTGTAGGTTATAGAGGATGACATTAATGTTACATGGTTGATGTAGTGTCTTAAGATTTGAGCAAACTGTTAACAAATTAAAAAAAAAACTATATTAATAACCATATTAATTTTCACTGAACTGATACACAGAATATAGCAGTAGAAATATAAAATATAAATAACATATGGAATGAAAATAAGATATAAAGCACATAGATATAAAGTATAAGAAATAGTTTGAAGAGTACAGCCATGTACTGAGCTCATGTTAATAATAAATGAGTTACTGTATGTTCTGTACTAAAGCACAGAGACTGTTAATGATTTAAATAATTCAGGTTATATTTGTTTCATGTTAAGATGAAGTACTATCCACAATAAGCTGCTTAATTTTCCTCACAAAATCTGAGACAATTTGATGTGGAATATCATTGTGTGAGAGAGAGAGCTGAAAACAGCATGATTACAATAATGTTTATCTTCTTAACTTTGAATAGATGTTGATTACCTGAATACTGTACCTCTGTTGTCTGGGTAGTACACTGTTGAATTTATAAATGTGCTCTTACACACAGATGAATACAGAAAAGTAGATGAGAACAAACAAAATGATTTAATGAATAACTGATATTTTCTCTCTTTCTTTGCCATCCTGAAGACCCCTCACTAAAAGTCCATGTTCTCCTGGATCCATGTCACATGCTCGAGCTTCTTCTGAATGACTTTTCAACAGTCGAAGTTCTGCTGAGAGAAGATGGCCAGCAGATAAGACAGCAGTACATGAAGGAGCTCCACAAGCTTCAGGAGGAAGAGGAGGGTTTGCACCTTGGAAGACTGTATTCATGCTGTTCAAATAAAAATAGATCTCCTCCAAACAACTTGCAATCAAACCATTTTCTTCCCATTTTAAAACCCTTTGTCCAGTTTAGATGGGAGAAGTTGATATTATGTGATATAGATCTGGGAAGACTACATTTCTAAATCATTTTTAACTGTGTTTTTATTCACAAGTTATTGATCTTATTTACTCTCCATGTATCTTGATTTAAGAATGGGGCTGTGTTTAAGGTCATATTTTTGCAATGACTCTGTTCCATCCCACTTTAGGAAATGAACTACATTAGTATTTGGTAAAAAAAACATGTTAAAAGAATAAAAGGTTGTGTAAAAGTAGACTTCCTTCCCTTAGCTATTGAGTTTAGCGTTAATGCACATTTTAGTCTTGTCCTTTTAAAATCTGAAATGTATACTCATAAGTAGAGACAAAGGAGTGCATTTATATAGAAATATTTATTTAATCTGAAAAACAACATTAAAAAAAGTCTGTTTTTATAGCAGAGATTAACATGTTTACAGCCTGGTACAAAACAAACAAATAGGTGTGATTAGCTCATGTCTCGATGGACACACACTGTACGGGGGGGTGAATGTTTTGATGACTCATCAGTTTTGATTTGATGAAGGATAAGAGTTATTCACAATAAGGCGTGTAGCTGACCAGCTTGACAGGCGGGCGCAGTGTAACGGTTTGTCAAGAGGCTTAAAACCCGTCTCAGCTCTCAGCCTGTGGGTGACATCACTCAGGCCATCCGGGGGAGACCTCCCTCACAGCGAGTTGTTGAAGAGAAGCAACTGAAGTCCACCCCAGAAGAACCAACAAATGCAGATGTTGTTGAAGCTCAGGTTTCTTCCTCTGTCTCTGCAGCTCTCTGGGCACCTCGACGGACCAGTCACCAATAATTCACACTGTGTCTATAGGAGAAATACAAAGGTGTTCAATTAATGCCTCAGACAAGACAAAATGTACAGTTAACTACATGTGACAGCTCAGGGTGTTGTTTTGTTATGAGCCACATCTGAAGGAATAATATTGAACAAGGTAGCTGCAACTCATCATAATAGATGCCAGTCTTAAATACTATTTTTTCTAATACTTAAAGTTTTTGGTGTGAAGCTGACACTGTCCACAGACTCCATGACTTCACGGGGTTCAATAGAAAACAAATGTCTTATAATAAATACTAAATAATTATTTTTCAATTGTCATGTTCACCTCATCGCTGTTGACATCAGTAAATATAAAACACAGACATTCCTCTTTTTGTCAGAACAGTAACATGAACTGTATGTTTTGTAATATTGATTTCTTCTGGATGTCTCATATTTACAGTCTATGGATAAAACTTTGTTAATGTATTTCTCTGCTAACACTGACAAAGTCTAACTTCTCTAACAAATAACTCATAAACATAATTGTATATTTAAAAAAGTGTAGTTTTAAGACTTTAATTAAATATTTGTGTTGAATATAATTCGTTTTAACTGTGTTGTAGAAAAGTTAACTTACTGTTTGTAGAGTTTTCTCAGGACGAGCAGGAATAGGGGATGATAGCAGCCTAGCTGTTAGCTATGCTGTCAAGTGGACTGCTAACGTCGAGCTGAATGGGCGGAGCTAAGTCCCGCCGGTCCCGCCTTACTGCTGTTGCTAGGTTGATCCGAAGTTAGGTTGAGACTGCAAATCCAATATGGATGCGGCCGTCGATTGGACTCATTTTCTGCCTATGTCACAGACGGGTCAGGGTTCGTCCAGTAATATTTACAGTCTATGGTATACACCCTTATGTCTGAATGTGGTGACCTCTGGCCTCCAAAAACAACATGACTTTGGTCAAAATGAAAAAGACAAATCTCTAAAACGGTAGTCCACAAACCCATTCTGTTGATGTTTTAATGTGGATTACATTTGGCTACCGGTTAATGCTTTTTATTTATTTATTCACAAAGTAAGGAGGAAGTGTTTTCTCTAACGCCTCACAGCATCACGTTCTTGTTAAATAAAGAACTTCAACCTTTCTTCTGTGTCTTTTTCTCTTTACCTCTATCTACTCTTCTCTCTTTCTTCATTAAATCGAACATCACTTTTAATTTCCTTCCCTTTTTTCGATCCACTTCCTTCATTTCTCTCTATTACCACCCTCTATTTCCTTCTTCTTGCTCTCTTGACCTCACTCCCTCTGAGAATTACTCCTCCTGTCCTTCTTCATTTTCTTCTCTTTCATTCTGGTTTTCTCTATTTCTGCTTCTGCTCCTTCATTGTCTCCCTCACACCCATTTGTTTAACCTCTCGACTCTTTCCCTTTCATACTCTTCTAACTTATACAACATAACTTTCTCTCATTTCTCTTATTCCTCATCATGCCTTTCCCATATATTAAATGTATTTCTTTCATTTTTATCATTCATGTTATCGTTTCTCTAAATCTACTTATTCTGCATTTTCTATTTTTACTGTATTTCATACTCTGCCATGCACCCATCTCATTAAATTCTGCTTCCTTTTCATATCAATTATTGAACCTCCTGCCCCTCGCTTCACTTTCTCTGAGATTCGTCTTAAATTTTGCATCTTTTCTCATGATTTCTCTTACTTCTCTGACTTTTCTCTCTAACTACACTTATGACTCTGTCACTGACCTTCCCTTTCTTCCTTCCCTCTTTTCCTCTCCTGTTGTCTGCAGGGGGGTCGTTCGGGTGGATGTGAACCTGCAGGATGTGGACATTGATCAGTGCTCCACCAGTGGCTGGTTTGCTGGGACCCATCGCTGTAATCTCACCAGTATGGAAGTAAGTCTGTTCTACATTACGGTTGTGTTTTTCATCCTTCAGCAGTGACAGAAAACATTTTTTTTCAATACTTGAGTATTTTGCCCCTTCTTACTGTTCAACCATACTTTGATATGTCTTTCATTATCTCCTTTAACATGCAGTTATACATTAGTTAAAGGGGAAAGGTGCATCAAGCATTAGAGAGAATTAAAAGTGATGTATGCTGATATGATCAAAATGAAAGGAACGTGATAATATTGAGCAGGTATTGTGTGTTTGGTTTAAACATGATAGCATGCTAATATTTGCACTGAGACTCAATGCAGGTTTAGCCAACGGCTCTGTAAGGCTCTGCTTTGGTGTTGGTCTGATCTTAATGCTACTGGCAACCTGCTTACATGATCTGAGAATAGCATGCGTTTTCAGGCACTTTCAGGCATTTGGGCCTTTGATTTTTGTTTCAACATCATCAACCTGTATATTTCACAACAGGTAGTCAGGGAACGGTTATAGAGTAAGTTTTGAGCAAGTCCATCCAGTAAAAGTTGAGTTATTACGGGGGGGGGGGCAAGTGAATACTTAGACATTTGGTTGGTGTTTCTAAAAAGGTTAGAGGATCACTTCAATGAGTAAGAAGTATCCACTGATAGCTTTGAACACAATTCATTGCAATCATGCATTAGATTTTAAGATATTTCACTGAAAAAGTAAAAACCTAAACCTTATTTTGTTGCGAAAAGAAAAAAATCAGGATTGTGCAGACACTTTTTTGTGGCAAGCCATAGTCGGGGAGAGTCTGGACCAAGTGAAAACCGTCAAACAATACTGTTCATGTAGCCAAGGTGCTAACATGGCTACTTAGTGACCCAGAGATTGTTCACATCATGGCATAGTAAACGTTGTGAAAAGAGTGTAAGTGAGTCGGTGTATGTGTGCTGCAGGATGCTTGTCTGTGTTGATGATAGTAATAGTTAGTAATGTTAGTAATAGTGATATGTGTGAGTAAGTGTCTTCTCTGCAGTAAAGTGTTTATACCTGTGTGAGCGCTGTGCTGGAACTGACAGCAGCCATTCATCATGTTTGTTAGCGCTTCTGTATACTCTTTGCTATGGTGTGCACTTGTGTGTTTGTCAGTGTGTGTGTGTGTGTGTGTGTGTCTTCCTCATGTCATTGCCGATGCGTTAGTTTGTCGGTGATGAATTGCAGGAAGCCTCTTCTGACTCCAGCAGGGGAGTGAAGCTGGAAGCTTGCGTGGCATGTCGCTGGCCATATGATGTATAATAAATGCAGTGTAATGGATTGCTGCAAGATGTGGTGAATAATTGACCATGCTCTTTGTCTGTGTGCCGGCCCCCTCTCTGTGTGTCGGGGGGTAGAACTACAGAAAAAGAACAGGAGGGGTCCATGTTCATCTTGATCTGTCGCACTGTTTTCTCCGTATCGTTCAATCTTTATGAGTTACTCTCCCCTGTCTGCTGTCTGCTTTAACCTGATTGGTAATGATTATACAGTACTATGTTTAGGTCTGTATTGGCTGTGTGTGTGTGTCAGAGACGGCCAACCAAGGCCATCCCGTCGACTTCACTGAAGTGCTGAGAATGATCCGAGATGTCCTCTGTGTGTGTGTATTTTGGTCCATATTGGATACACATATGTCGAGATTTTCCTTTTAATCTCCATGCAAATGTTTGCTTTAAACTGCTTATATTCTGTAAATAACATTAATCCTGAACATGCAGCACAACGACAGGACATTTTCACAGGATCATTACACAGCTTACCGCTCATTACTCTACTTTTCTCTTATGATTTCTCTTTGAACTCCAGTCTGTGATTCAGTGACGTCTTGAGTAAGCACTATCCTTATTCTCTTCCTGTTTCAGATAGAGAAATGTGAGCAGGGATAAACATGTACATGATATAATACATTACAAATGTTTTCTTAAAGGGGACAAGTATTGGCGATATATTTCCAATCATATCATCTATTTTGTCCTTCACTGGATAATTAAATGCTGTTGTAAGATGAACAAAGCAATCGATGGTAGTTTTCAGCTTGAGTTTAGAGATATTAGAGCTTTCCACAGTGTGTGTAAGGATGGTATGATATTAAACAGAAGGAAGTTCAAGAGGTTTAAAATATGGAAAAGTATATTTGAGTGGTTGCATTATAAAGCTCTTAAAAAACTACAAGGGACAACTATCTCACTTTGAGTTCTTCTCGACTAACACTTGGTGTTTTGAGTGCAAAAGTCAGTTCAAGCAGACGACGGCAAAGTGCCCCGACCTAAGAGTAGGCTACACAGATGTTACATTACAGACACACTGGTCACAATTCTTTCTCTTAATGGTCGCCATATTGGCTATTTAAAGAAGGAGGCAGTCACAACATTGGCTCTAACTTTAATGACATTTCAGCGACTCGGGAATGGGGCTTGTTGGACAAAGTTAGTAACTGTGCCCATACAAACACCAGCACTATTGAATTTGCAAACCTGTGCATTAAATTCTCCTTTATCAAAGTCAAAGTCAATTTCAAAATATGCCAGACATACAGTGGAATCAAAATTGCGTTTGTCTCCGTCCCATCGTGCAGTACGACCAAAATAAGGTAAAAAAGAGATAAGGTAAAATAGATAAAATGAAATGAGGTAAAAATAAGATAAATAATATTCACAGAAAGAAATTCTAAATTGTGCAAAAGGTACAAAATGGTAAATAAAATAACATTTAAAGAAAAAGTAAACTTGTGCAATATGTGCAATGTGCAGTAAACTGAGTGTACTTTTGAATAGTTAGCTTCAGAGTTATTAATCCAGAGTTCTTGGTGGCAAACGGGAGGTTTCAATGTCAGTGTTCGTGGGGGCAGAGGGGAGGGAAGGAAGAGAGGGGAGAGAGTTAAGCTTCCTGACAGCTTGGTGGAAGAAGCTGTTTCCCAGTCTGGTTGAGCCGGCCCGCAGGCTGCAGTACCGTCTCCATGATGGCAGGAGGCTGAAGAGGCTGTGTGAGGGGTGGGTGGGGTCACGCACAATGCTGGTTGCTTTGTGGGTGAGGCGGGTACCGTAGAGAACTGTATAATAGAACTGAAGAACTAAAATGATCTCATCTGATCATGCTCAGATCATGCTCAGCCTGGTTGCCATCCCCATTGAAATAGAAAAGCAAAAGAAGCAGTGGAATGATGGATACAGTAAACAATAAGTATTTATGATTTTATGATTCTGTTAGAATTCACGCAATACACACGTTAGTATTCAAAGCTCCTGTCATTAGCCGGTTATGATCAGACTGAGATCAATATTGACAACTCTCTATGACTTACAAAAGCAAATGTATCTATCAGCATAAAGATGGACTATTTCCAAATATTTATTTTTTAAACCTCTGTCGCATGGTATGGACATCTTTCACATATTTTCTATGAGAGATACATCAGGTTGATAGAAGGAAGCAGGGTGAGATTATTCTTTTTACGTGTACCTGATCAAATCAGAAATGAGATAAAAGGTACAGCTTTGTCCTTAGAGCTCATGAAATTAGAAACAAACAGAAGTTCTTGACAGGAGGTTTAAGGATACGTGCTTTATAAAAAATCATCCATATTAAGACAGAGCTGAGTGCATATCGATGCCAACAACTGTGGTTCATGAAAAAAACTGAAAAGAATTCTTATACAGAATTCCCTAACCCCCCTCCCCACACACACACACACACACACACACACACACACCCACACAATCAATGTGTGTTTAATCAATCTCTTGCTGCTGTTGTTTAACTGCCACATTACCTAAACTTTGGTGTGTTGGCTCTCAGCCTTCATCTCAGTTTTCTTGTTGCAGTTGAAAGCTTCAGAAACACACATAATACCATTTTCAAGGAAACCTTCATTAAGAACAGAATAAGTTTATTTCTTTAGGTGTTATACGAGCCTGGAAAATCACTTCTGTGTCCAAAGTTCAGATTAAAAACAGTTGATTTCTTAATCTCTCTAATCATGTTTTGTGTGTGTGAAATGGGCCGTAGAAAGTCAGTGTGAGGCTTATTGCTCTCCACATCGAACACAAACACACCCCGAGGCTTCGTCTTACAGACAACAGATAATAAGAAAACAGTTTGTACTGATGTGCCTGAGCTTCATGTGCTCTGTACCATCACACTTCTCGTCTTATTGTTTCTGTTCTGTGAAGCTTCAGCTGTTTTTTTTATTGCGTTTCCTTTGCCTAATAGAATAGAGCGCACCATTTTTAGCCCCTTTTTCATTTTACAAAAGCAGTTAAGTGCAACCTGAGGAGGTAATGAGCGATAGTTATCCCTCAGAGTCTCACTACAACGAACATCACTCGTTGAAAAGTTGAATTATAAGATGTAAAGAATCCATTTAGTACTCAAACTTTATTTTTGTTACACAGGGGGCAAAACAACAAGTTCTTAACACCAGAATGTGAGCCAGCTGTTGCTTATTTTGTATACAGCTTTCACATTGTAACATCAGCTTTAAAATGACGACAGATTTATGACCACATGAAAGTGTAGATCGTTTTAGTAAAATATGTCTCCTTATGTGACGAGTAGCTAAGCAACAACCACCAGCTGGTATTAGATATGACTTTCTTTCTTTTGGTGTTAATGTAGTAAAAGTCAGAAAGAGAGAGAGAGAGAGAGAGAGAGAGAGAGAGAGAGCGGAATGACATGCGAAAAAGGAGTCGCAGGTTGGATTCAAACCCTGGCCATCTGCTTTATGGACTGTAGTCTCTAAATATGGGGCGTGCTCTAACTACTAGGCCACCGGCGCCCTTTAGAAACTTGTTTGAAGACAATATCCAGACTCAAAAACTAAAACAATGATCCATGATGTTGACATGTTTCGACTGAAATTATAATCAACTAAGTGGTGAAAGCTGCTCTTGCTGGCACCAGAGCCTCTGCTACAAATACCAAACCAAAGGCTGTTTAAGTCGTGTTATGACTCAAACTGCCTCGATGCGGTGTAGCATGATGGAGGCCAAAACGCTCTA